GTTTTTTAGTGTAACCTAATCACCAATAACAAGAAGCTAGGTAATTTATATTGGTATTTAGCAATTCTAATCACAAATATTTCTAACACCAAAAACCTTCTAGTGCAAATCACAAACGCAATAAAACAATCCACAAAAAACATACCATAAACCTCCTAATGCAAACCACAAATTCGCTAAAACATATGAGAAACCCCACAAAACAAACCATAAATATTTTGAAAAGCACACCAGAAACCCCCTAATGCAAACCACAAATACGGTAAAGCAAAACACAAACACGGTAAAACAAACCAAAAACGTCCTAATGCAGACCACAAATATATTAAAGCAAACCAGAAACCTTGCAAAGCAAACCACAAAAGTTTCGAAAGCACACCAAAAACTTCTTAATGCAAACCAGAAACCTTCTAATGCATACCACAAATCTCCTAAAACAAACCACAAACCTCACAAAGCAAACCACAACATTTACGAAAGCACACCGGAAACCTCCTAATGCAAACCACAAACACAGTAAATCAAACCACACAAAGCAAACCATAAACGTCCTAATGCAAATCACAAATATATTAAAACAAACCAGAAACCTCACAATGCAAACCACAAATTTTTCGAAAGCAAACCAGAAACTTCCTAATGCAAACCACAAACACGATAAAGCAAACCAGAAACTTCTTAATGCAAACCACAAACACGATAAAGCAAACCACAAAAGGCATACAAAAATATGAGAAACCAAACCATAAATCTCACAATGCAGACCATAGCATCCGGTGGTCGTTGACCGTTGACCGGTCAACGAAGACCGTTGACCGGTCAACGAAGATCGTTGACCAAACGCCGATGACCGTCAGTGAGTAGATTCCGGCGCCGATAGGCATATTCCGGCCCCGATGACTAGATTCCGACGCCGGTAAGCATATTTCGACCACGGTGAGCATATTCCGGCGACGGTGGCATATTCCGATGACAAAATAGCATATTCCGGCGACAAAAAAGCATATTCCGGTGACCGGCGACCAGATTCCGGCCACCAATGGCTGAATTCCGGCTACTAAAATTTTGGGCCGAAAATAAAAAAAATATTTTTTATTATTTTTTTTACTTTTTTATTTTTTTATTATTATTTAAACATATTTTTCATAATGACAATTATACCCCTACTTTGATTTTACACTAAGTCAACTCATCTAATAAAAAGTCATCACAACCCTAGCTTCCTATTAGTTGGAGACTAGTGTTGTTACAATAACAACACAACGTGTGTTGTTACCGTAACGAGTCCCCTAATGTAATTGGACAAGTAGTTTTAAGACTCAATAGCCTTTTGTAAGGATGATCGTGCCCCTTCAAATTAATCTTATTGGAAGGGTAGATTCGAACATGTGGTCTCTCACGGATCAGTCTAACAAGTTAGCCTCCAATCAAAGGTTATTGAGATGTGTTGAGGCCTCTAAGTTGTCGTTGGCCATTGAATATGAAGAAAAGACACAAACTAGAAAGGGGAAACAAAGTCAACAAGTAATACATGCATGCCATTTCGTGGCGCGGCCAACATTGAACTTAAACTCCCCAATGGAAAGTCAAATAGATCCTTTTTTGTGGTAATTCAAATAGATTTATATTAGTGTTGACAAAGAGATTATTGGCTAAAAAACATAGGCTGAAAGCATGCTTAATCCTGGCATCACTATCTTAATTACATGTTTCAAGACGGCAAGTCAACTATTAAAAAAAATAGAACAAAGCGACTAAACCAAACGTTACTCTGATTAATACAAGTATCTATCCATCTATAACAATAATCCCTTAATTAAGTTGTATATTGATACTTTTGTTTCCTATAAGTATAAACTAGGGAGTAGGTAGTTGCTTGCTTAAACTACAAGGAACCATAAAATTTTCGTTTTCAGGGGTTATGGTTTTTGGGATAGCTCTGTGTATTATCAAAATCATAGTATCATGTACTAGTATAATCATTACTTTATTCATAGTTTCCCTTCCAAAGTCCAATTTTAATATTTCAAAGTTGACCAGCTGAATAGATATAGAATGCAACGATAAATGATAATTTTTTGGATGTCAATTCAAAAATTATATGATCATTTTAGCAAATAACTATCGACAAAAGTTACGTAGTAGAAATATGGAAAGCTAGAATTTGCACCATCGTGGGTCATTACACATGAAATGTAGTGATATATTTATGAGGCATAATAATTTCCAGCGAGAACCATTGATGAATTAGAGTGTAATTTTTTTTTTTTTTGTTAGTGTTCCCTTCGATGTCAATGAAAGGAATTGTGTTATGTACCATACCTCGAACCATTGACATGTAGCGTGACTGAGGCGAATGAAATGAAGTATTGAGACATTTCATTATGAGATTTCAACTGTCATTCAGTGGGTCTCAAAGGCTTCATTCAATGCATTGGACTCCTCGTCGTTTGGTGTAGGTTAAAAAGTAAAAACACAAGTACTAGTATGACAGTCGGCCACTTGTCGTTTAATTTGACCATCATTGTAATCAAGGATTCTACTACTACAAAAAACCCATATGCCGAGGGTTATCTGGCAGGGGTTTAGCAAACCCCTGCTAATTTTTTCGGAACTCATTTTAACGGCGGTTTCTTGCGAGGGTTCAGAAACCCTTGTTGCCGCACAACTCATTTCACCACAGTTTTCCCCGTTTGATTAAAGAAACTCATTTTCGTGATTTTTCGATCTCTCTCTCTCCCCGCGCGATTCTCCGATCGCTCCCACACTCCAAGTGGCGCAATCCTCCTATCCCTCCCGGAGCGGTGTGATACTCCATTCTCTCCCTCCCTTCGAGTGGCACGATTCTCCAATCTCTCTCTCACTTTGAGCGACGTGAGTCACCGATCCCTCGCTCACTCCGACGCGATTCTCCGATCGCGATCTCGTTCTGGCTGATAAGGTTATATCGCTCGCACTTTTTCATTTTGCTGGGTTCTATTTCCATTAGTCTCCAATTTTGTTCTTCTGAACTTGACTTGCGTTCGGGAGGGTTAATGGAAACTTGAGTATAAGAACTTTTAGGTCACTTAAAACGATTCTTCATCTTTGTCGTCACTGAGATTATCAATGCAAGTTGATAGATGATGGGAGTTTGGATTACTGTTGCAATGTTTAGTTTAATCCTATTGGTTTCATTTCATCAATTGAAGTCCCATGACCTGATTCTGTTCTTCCAAGCTTATGCTGCTTCTTTTAAGCTTATGTTGCATGCTAGCTAGTACAATAATAATCTCTTTGTGGGAATTATTTGGTACTTGTGTTGTGGGTAACATATCATCCACGTAAAATAGTGGGCAAGTATGTATCTCTTGGAAACAGAAAATTTATTCTGAAATGCAGGACTAGTCCTGAAACTTTAGTCATGGGGTTAGGCCATTTGGATTCATGTTGGTTGTGTAATGATACTTGAAGGAACTGCATCTACTTTTAATCATATGGCTGTAAGTGGTAACTGTCTATTTCATGTCATGATTCTACAATATGGTCATTTGTAGGGAATGACCTCAAATTTGGTGGTGCTCAATCAATGCATGGAAATGTTTTGTTGTATAGAGGTGTGTGTCTGGTTTTCGGATGTTCCCTCTTGTGAAGAGGGATAATTGGGGACCAGTGGCGGATCCAGGGGGTGGCCACCCCGGGCCTCGGCCCAGCCCTTCTCTGGATCCATAGTTAGTATAGGGCTTATGAATTTTTCGATTTAGGTATCGACCCAATGCTATTTTATAATAAAATTGGATATAATTAGCAAATTGATTTAGATAAACATATTCAAATCACTACTCTAAATTTAGCCTAGAGAAATTCTAGCCCCAAAGATTTTTCGTCTAAAATAACAATGAAACCTAAAATTCTAAAACATAATAGGCTAAAAGAAATATGAGGTTTGTTACCTTGAAAATTTACTAGACAACTGGTGGTATAGGGATGGACATATAACGCAAATTGATATTTATTTGTCTAGTGTTGACGCTGCTCGTTTCAACAACTACTACAAAGAGAACCTGAGAGAACCTTTTGAACAAAGAAGCATGTAAAACTAATTTGCACAATAAATGAGTGATGAATTTCTTGCCAATTGCTCAAGTATACTATTGGTATGGATGTGGACTACATTATTGATGCATTTGCTAAATTATGATACCGTCGTGTACAATTTACATTGTAAAAAAACTATAATCATTAATTTTTTTTAGTTCTAATTTTCTAATAAAATGCGGCCCAGTGCTCTTCTGTGTTCTGGATCCGCCGCTGTTGGGGACAAGAAGAGGAGTGGATCACATGTTTAGCCTAGTTACTCAACACACTGGCTGAACTAGATCTCAAAGCCTTGGAAAGAAGTAAAACTAAACTAATTTCTAACGTGGTTAGCCCTAGTTCCGGATTGATTTCGAACTGAATCACATGTTTACTTATGAGAACCTCATAACTTTTACTATTTGTTTGCCTTATGTAAACTAGTTCCCTGTGAACAACCGGATGTTAGCCCAAGAGTTGAATCTTCGGTTTCCATTTCCAGAGTTGCTGAAGTCCTGGAGTTCCAATTTGATATTTTTGCAGTTGGTTCTTGATTAAATTGCTGACATTGACCTGGCGATGAACTTCAAATCAGCTGAGTAGCATCTTGGATATGTCCTGGTTAATATCCAATCCCTTCCCCTGTCGTTTTAGACGTTAGGCTCCTGATTTGTTCTGGTTACTTTCTAGGTCTCTATTGCCTACTTCAATTTACAAGAGAAGATGGAAACAGAACTCCCTCAAGACATAAGTACATCATAAAGAATCTGGGCACCTAGTGGCAACTGTTGACCGCCAGATCATATTCGCTTAGAGCTTCAATCATTTTCTGTAAATTTCGATAATTTTTTGTAAATTGCAATCATTTTTGGTAAATTTGAGCTTACTGAACACATCATGGTTTGGTTTTCAGGAATTGAGATCGAATTCACAGCCGCGTAGAGATGGCATGTCTTATAACTGGGCTAATTTTCGTAGTGGTCAGGATAATAGCATTTCTCTGTGCCAGAATCTGCTGTAATAGAGACCCCTCCACCAATTTGTATGCTTCCTCCTTTTTGCTGACTTGTTATGCCCAGTATTTCCTGACTGGGTTAGGATTGTGGATCCTTCGATGTAGCTCTCTTCATTGATCAAGTAAATTGCCCCAAGTAAGTCTGGTACAGGAAGCTTTCTATTTTGTATTTGCTGGATGCCCTTGTTTCGTGTCATACAATTGGTTTTGCGTGTTCACTCAAAAATTTCATTTTTTTTTTGTTGTTGCATTTCTTCTAGGTTGTTTGCTTATTTTATAGTCATCGTCATTGATTTTTAGATACATGGTCTTATTGCCCGAGTTAAATAGATACAGATTCCTAGATTGTGTTACTCTTAGCATGAATGTCTGCTCCCCTGTTCATGATTGGTCCACATGTATTTTGTAATCTTAGATCAATATTTGTGTAGTGTGACCTTTGTCTTTGCTTACTAGCAATCTCTTATGAATTTGGTGTCATTTGTTTTAATATTTTATCAGGACAGTTAAGTGACTACTCTAATGATCATGCGTTGTAGTGGATTCTCATGATCTCTAGTTCACTCCGTGCGGCTATAAGGTTATGCATCTCTCGCACTTTTCCTGAATATAGATATGTTTTAGGTTTCATTTTTGTTGTCGCATGCAATGGCCCTGTGTTTTAGATTTTTTGATGCACTCTACTTTGTACCTGCTTGCTCTGAAAATGGTCTCATACTCTAGTGTATTTGTTCAACTTTGTAAGGTTGTCAAGAAGAACATAGGGCTACTCTGATTAAGTTAAACTACTTTGGAAATGTTTTAACATTAGGATATTGTACTTGTTGCTGTGTGAACCCATGTGCATTGTATAATGAAACTGTTAAACATTAGGATATTGTACTGCAATTTCCCTGCAGAACTCCTACTAGGCTTGAAGTTTTCGTAGCTAACCATAAGAGAAAGGATGAGACATACATCAATGATCATGCTAAGGATTTCATGGAGCCAATGATTTGAGGAAGCGGTTGAGGGATCGAACCAAGGGTATTTACAAATTCTGTGTTCTTTCTTCTTCTCTCGGGATTATCTAAAGTTCATTTCATCATCTGGGTCGCAATTGAATTTAAAATTTCCTCTTTGTTTGCGTGTTTTGGGGGGTTCTCACTTTTTAGACGGTCGTGCATACCAAGGAGATTCTGTCGAAGCAGGCTACCCGAACCAAGGTGAAGATCGCTAAACAGGCGGTGAAGATTGCTATACAAGCAGAGGAGCACTAAAGGTTCATCAATAAGGTCGTCAACTTTTCCCCTTTCACTGTTTCATTTGATTCGTTACAGATTGGGGGAATTCTCCATGAATCGGCATTGATATATGTTTCGTACGTCTATTGTTTGTTCTATTTCACATTCGTCCCTCTTCGGTGGATGAACTACCGCTACAAGAAACGACACTATTCTCTCCTGGTAAGTTGACTCTTCAAATCAGAAGTTTGTTTTGAGATCTAGGACAGGTGAGTTTAGTTCTGCAAACTTCAGTTTGGTGAGGGGATGAATCTGTTCAGTAATGCTGCCTTTTGTTGTCAACGCAAATTCTAGCTTAGTTATGGTAGCTTGTTGCCTTACACTGTTATACATTGAGGTACTTTCGTTATGGGGTAGGAAAGGAGAAAAGGGTGAGGAGAACTTATTGAGGCTAAGTATAGATCACCATCACATCAAACACTAGTGAATTGCTCTTTCTACCACTAGTTGTTGCATGTAGGCAGATATGAGATGATAGCTTTTATGTTTTGCTAGCCTCTGTTGCCTCTGCTTGTTAAGAACAATAGTTGTGCTAGCTTGTTGATATCATCATTTTCAAGTGTTGCCTCTTCTTTTTTGCAGTTTCTGTCTCTTAATTTCTTATAGCAATTTTGTTAGTGGTAAATGTTCATAATTCTTTTCCTTTATGTCACGGTGCTAGTACTGCCCCATCTTTGGGTTCTCGAGCTTCTTGATGTGGTGATGCTCTTAGATGAAGGATGTTGAATCATGAGTTTATCATGTAGTAGGTTCTTTTGAGTAATATTCTTGTAGGCTGTTATGTTTCTTTGGATTGCCTTTGAATGTTGAAGGTAACTGAATCATATTGTGGATCATGAATCATGATACGGATTATGGAACATTGATGGTGTTGTATGGTATGAATTTGGTCACTATTGAATATTAGGTTCTGAGTTTGTTTATAGTGACTATAGTATTATCAACCAAGTTATAACCACCATTTTTGAATTTCTTTTTAGCGACAGCTTTGAATTTCTTTTTAGTGACAACTTTGCATTTCTCTTTAGGGACCGGCCTGATTTCATCACAAATTCTTTTTTTATTAGCCACCAATTAAGCAAGGGTTTAAACCCTTGGAATAAATGTTATTCAATTGAATTATAACATTCACTAGCAAGGGTTCTAACCCCACTAATTTACCAACGCATGTAGCAGGGGTTACTTAGAACCCTTGGTAGGAACATATCATTGTTGAATTTTAAATTGCCATGTAGCAGGGGTTCTACCCCCTGGTAAGAATAGATGCAGTTTTAACCCCTGCTAAAATTCCTGGAAGGTACTTTCACCGTGGATTTCTCAAAACCCTTGCTACCAATAGCAGGGGCAGCATAGGTGAGGGTTGATCCAGGGGTTGTACAAACCCTTGCTACAATTTATAGCAGGGGTTAAAACCCCTGCTACAGGCCAATAATACCCTTGGTATAGGCCCTTTCTTTTGTAGTGATCTAATCATGCTCACAAGAATAGCAAGCTCACTCCATAACCAGCCATTTACCACAAGTACGATCACCAACTATGAGGATTCTTGCGAACCGTGAACCTAATAATAATACAGTTAAAAACAAGTTTGATATGGCCTTACCAGTATACGAACTCAAATTCAGTGCTCCAACAACACATAAGATGGTGAACTCTTCTTCTAACACAATTTTAAGACAGGCCCTCCTCCCCCAATAGAGTGAGAGCATGTGAGTGGCAAACCAATAAATGAAATTCGGTGGAGAATGCGCAAGAGCCAAAATAAAGGAGCTGAGGGGTTTCATTTGCTCTCTTTAGTCTGTAATGTCTTGGTGACAAATCATGGAGGTATAGGGTGGGAAAAAAGAAAGGGAATTCCTCATCACGTTCTACCAAGTTTGTCAACCCGCGGGTCGACCCACTTTGACCCTGACCCAGTGCGAAAAACGGGCTGCATGCATCCGCCGGGCCGACCGCTACAAGGTAACGGGTTGGAGGTCAAATTGTGTCTTTTTTTTCTTTGGTTTGCCAAATGCGCCTATTTTCCGATTATTCTTTTCGCCTAGCTCGATTTTTGGAATGCTAAGTTGAACATTTGAATATTTATGTTATATAAATGTGTGTGAATTTTCTCTATATGTTGGATCTATATACGATATGTTATTTTAGTGTAATATTATATGTTATAACTCATATGTTAAATAAGATTTGATATAATTTATGAGGATAAGTACAATATAATGACTTTTTTCATATTTCCGGGCCAAACCGGACTAAAACAATTGACCCATTAACCCTCGACCCAGTAGCTCGACCGGGTCCGGGTCAACCCGCAGGTTGACAACCTTGCGTTCTACCGAATCCTATCTATTTTTTAGACAGAAACTTGCAATCCACTCACAAATCAGAGGCTTGGTAGAAATGGCATTCGATAGGTCATTCACTCCTCCTAATCGTGCACTGATTAGGCAGGCAGGCAGGCAGGCAATCCTCAGCTGCAGCATGTGAAGTTGTGAACTCCTTTTGCGAGGGGGAATTAAAGGAAAACATCAATCTTAATTGTAGTTCGTGATCATATTGGAATTATTATTGCGTTCATTTATTATTCAGCCGACAATGTTGATGATGGGTAGGCAGGCAGGTTCATGATGACGATTATTATGGTAAAATTTGCAACCAAAATTGTGATTTCACTCCAATATGTTAGGACCTTGAGAAAAATTTGGACATGTACTGAGTAGAGGGAGTGGATTAGAAGATTTGGTAAATATAAAAAGTAGAGGGATATGTCATTTTTTAGTTTTTGGTTATTAGAGTTATATTTACTTAAAGGGTTTATCAAGACTATATTTACTAGAGGAGAAACTGGTTATGTATAAATTATTTCTCGATATATGTTGTATTGAATCACATTTAAGGTGTGATACATACTTCTGGTATCTACATATATATACATCTGTAAATCATTCATATAAAGTGTTACGGTTATAGAAATACCTTATGCTTGTTTGGGAAATATCTGTAAATCATTCATATAAATCATTCATCTGTAAATCATTCATATAAAATGTTACGGTTATACACAAAACACGATAATGTTTTATTTTTAATAAACTAATTAATATTAATTATAATCTTTCTGCTTGTTTGGGAAATATCTTTGGCAACTCTCATACAATTTATTTTATTTGTAGGTGATTGGTGGCCCTAAATAAGAATAATAAATCTGCAAGATAAATAATAAAGAATGATTATTTTCTTTACTTTTTGTATTTGTTCTTGTTGTAGAAATACCTTATGTACGATGCACATACCTCTTAAGAAAGCCAATAACTTCACAACATCAAGATTTATATCCCAACCATGATTAATAATAAGAAAAGAAAGCACATCAATAGGGTCGAATCCCAACCATGATTAATAATAAGAAAAGAAAGCACATCAATAGGGTCGACACATTAACCTTTGTTTTACTTAGGCCAAAAGTTGGTCACTTGCCATAATTATTATTACTTCCCAACCAAACCTTGTAGCATATCATTTAGTACTTTCAGAACACAATAATGTTTAACTCATCCACCTTTGTTTCTTTCACTAGTTAATCTCTCTCTCTCTCTCTCTTCCATACAAGTCAATTATGCCTTCTGGACCGAGTCTTGCCTTGTTGACTCCGCAACTGCCAACTATATTTGCCTAACATGAACAGTGACATGAAAAAGGAAAGGACCCCCCTTTCCTGAAATCTCATATATATCCATGCATGTATAGTATAGCCTTAGCCACATCATGAATAATCTAAAGCCAAGTTTTGACCCTACAGCTTGCCTCCTTTCTCTTGTGTAATAACAACGTTATGGATCAAGCAAACCCTAAAGCCCTGCCTTTCTCATTCCATTACACAGCTTATATAGCTGGAGAGTCAGTACAGAAACCTTACAAAACAAGGTAAGAAGACAAGGCTTGGAAGAAAAGCAAGTACAGCCGAAAAAGGAAATGAGTAGTTTTAACAAGTTTGAGGACTAAGTGGCATTTTGCCAGAAACGACGTCACTCCACGTGCGTTGTGCCTTCACTTGAGTTGGCATTGGAACGGCGTCGCATTGCTTCTGTTTTCCGGATGATGATGAAGCGGTGTCGCTTTGATTCCTGGCTTCAGCTGATGGTGAAACGATGTCGGGTGAACTCTCCTTCTTCTTCCCTGTGAGAACAACGTCTCTGTTCAGAGCCGTTGGAGGTTTGAAAGGGGCAGAGCGCGAAATTCCTTCGCATTCCCCTGATACCCCCCCCCCCCGCAAGCTGGCGGGCATAGATTGAGGACGCCGAGCTTGGAGAGCAGGAAAGAGAAGGGTGCAGGAGAGAGAGCCTTGGTGAAGAGATCAGCCAATTGATGAGTAGAAGAGACATGGAGTACCTTGATGGTGCGATTGAGCAGCTTTTCACGGACAAAGTGGCAATCGAGCTCAATGTGCTTTGTCCGCTCGTGGAATGTTGGATTCTCGGCGATGTAGATTGCGGATTGGTTATCACAGTAGAGGGTTGCAGGCTGTGGATGAGGAATTTGGAAATCTTGAAGCAAATAAAGCAACCATTGAAGCTCACAGGTGGTGTAAGCTAGAGCTCGATATTCAGCCTCGCAAGAAGATCTGGAGATGGTGGTCTGCTTCTTGCTCTTCCACGAGACCAGAGAATCACCAAGGTAGACACAGTAACCGGTGACAGAGCGCCGAGTATCAACACAGGCAGCCCAGTCTGAATCACTGAAGGCTTTCAAATGAAGAGGAGAATCAGCAGAGAAGAACAGGCCATTGGAAGGCGCAGATTTCAGGTAACGAAGGATTCGAACAACTGCTTTGAAGTGATCATTGCTTGGATTAGCCATGTATTGACTAACTTGTTGAGTAGCATAGCTGATGTCAGGGCGAGTGGTGGTGAGATAGATCAATTTTCCTACCAACTTCCTGTACTCTTCTGGATCATGATAGGGATCAGTGTGCTCAGCAGATAGATGAACTTTGTAGTCCATAGGTGTAGTAGCAGGTCTGGAATGAATGAGATCAACTTCATCAAGGATCTCAAGTGTATATTTTCTTTGTGAAATGTGAATGCCTTTTCTGCTTCTTGCAACCTCAATTCCTAGAAAGAATTTGAGGTTTCCTAGATCTTTAATACTGAATGTCTGATGAAGGAAAGACTTGAGTTGCTGAATCTCTTCTAAATTGTTGCCTCCAATGACCAAATCATCGACATAAATCAAGATACAGGTGTAGGAAGAACCTGATGATTTGTAGAAAAGTGAATGATCAACCTTGCTAGGCATATAACCCTGAGACTGTAGCTTATCAGCAAGCTTAGTGAACCACTGACGTGAGGCCTGTTTGAGGCCATAGATAGACTTTTTAGGCGGCATACAGGATTCTTGAAGCCAGGTGGTGGAATGTAACCAGGGGGAAGCTTCATGTAGACTTCCTGGTCTAGATCACCATGTAGGAAGGCATTGTTCACATCTAGTTGGTGAACATGCCAAGCCTGAGCAGCAGCAATTGCTAGGAATAGTCGAATGGTAGTCATTTTGACTACTGGAGCAAATGTATCTTGATAATCAACCCCCTCCTGTTGACTGTAACCCTTTGCAACCAGCCTAGCCTTCTGTCTCTCTAAACTGCCATCAGAAAGATGCTTGTTTTTGTAAACCCATTTGTTCCCTACTGGTTTTTTACCAGGAGGGAGTTCAACAACATCCCATGTCTGATTGGCCTCAAGAGCAGTAGTTTCAACTGCCATTGCTTCATTCCATTCAGGATACTGGCATGCCTCTTTGTAAGTCTGTGGTTCTTTTTGAGAAGAAATGCTCAAGACAAAGTTCTGATGGTTGAGTGAGAGATTAGAATAATCCAATACAGAAGAGAGAGGGTAGGTGATACCTGGAGTCTGCTGCTGACTTGGATGACTGGTGGAAGAAAGCTGTTGAAGCAGGTTGCAATGGTATTGTTGAAGGTGGGAAGGAGGTTTTCTGGTTCTGTTGGATTTTCTGGTAGGGAAAGGTGGTGGAGGAGAAGATGGTGGAGGGGAAGGTGGTGGAGATAGTGTGGGAGAATTAGGAGGAGAGTTGTCATCTCCTGAGTCAAAGTGAAGATTATTGAGGAAGGGTTCTGGATTGGGTGAATTAGGAGGGTGATAGGTAGGACTAAAGTCATCATAGATGGTAGGGTCAATTGGATTGGCATAGGGAGAGGTCTGGTTCTGGTTTTGGCTTTGGTCTTTGAATGGGAATACATGTTCATAGAACTGCACATCTCTGGAGACAAAGATATCATGAGTAAAAAGGTCATATATCTTATAACCTTTCATCCCAGGTTGAAACCCAAGAAATACACCCTTTCTAGCTCTAGAGTCAAACTTGCTTCTGTGATTAGCTAATGTGCTAGCAAAACATAAGCAGCCAAAGACCTTTAGGTCTGATAAGTCTGGTGGTTTGTTATAAAGCTTTTGAAAGGGGGTTTGGTTCCCCAGAACAATTGTAGGAACCCTGTTGATGAGAAAAACTGAATGCTTAACACAATCACTCCAGAAAGAAGGGGATAGATTAGATTGAAATTTTAATGCCCTGGCAATAGCTAGGATATGCTGGTGTTTTCTTTCTACTCTGCTGTTCTGTTGAGGTGTCTCAACACAAGACAGCTCATGTAGAATCCCAGTTCTATTGAAAAACTCAGTCATTTCAAATTCTCTACCTTGATCACTTCTGATTCTCTTAATAGTGGTTTGAAACTGTCTTTCAACATAAGAACAAAAGGCTTGAAGCTTTGGTCTGGCATCAGACTTGGCTGGAAGTAAAATCAACCAAGTCATTCGAGTAAAATCATCAACAATTGTTAAAAAGTACTTGAATCCATCATAACTGGGTATAGGGTTTGGACCCCAAATGTCAACATGAATCAGTTCAAAAGACTGTTGAGCAACAGAAGTGCTTAAAGGAAATGGTAATCTCTTCTGCCTAGCAAAATGACAAGTATCACAGGGTATAGAACTGTTGGTATCTATATCTGGACAAAGGTTTTTCAAAAGTGGCACTTTAGAATGTGAAACATGGCCTAATCTAAAGTGCCAAACATCAAAATCTTGAGAAGTGGCAGCAGAGAAGTGTTTAGGTTGACTGGTATCTACAGGTTGCTCTAAATGGTAAAGGCCATGAGACAGCTTAGCAGAACCAGTCATCCTCCTCAGCTGCATATCCTGGATCAAGCAGACATCAGAGAAAAAAGTCAAGCAAAGGGACTTGTTCCTGGTTAGCTTGCTAACAGAAACCAAATTGAAGCTGAACTGTGGAACAAACAAGACTCCTTGTAGAGTCAAGTCAGCAATACAGGTAACTGTTCCCATATGAGTTGCTTGAATTTGATCTCCTGTAGGCAAGGTAATGAAAGTGTTGTGTATCCTTCTGTGATCAGTCAGAAGGTCCAAGGAACACACAATGTGATCCGAGGGACCAGTATCAAGGATCCAGGTTTGATCATGAGGTGATTTGTGGCTCACATTGAGTAGAATTTTACCTGAGGGTCCAGCTGGTGTGGTAGTGAAACTTGCAGCTGAAAAGGATGGGTTGTTGCTGGTGGAAGCCTTCTGAGACCCCTTGTCACTCATCAGGGACATGAGCTTGATGTAATCTGCCTTGGTCAGTTTGATCTCTTGAGTCAAATCCTCTGAGTTTGTGTTTGCAGCAGCATGTGCTTGAGGTCTGCCCCTCTGAGGTCCCCTCTGGTTTGGATATCCATGTTTACTGAAACATTTGTCTTCAGTGTGCCCTTGCTTCTTGCAGAAGGTGCATTCCATGTTTCTCCCAGCAGGATTTGGTGCCTTGTTGTTCATTCCAGGTGGCCAACCATGCTTGTGATAGCAGGTTTCTTCTGTATGCCCCAAGAACTTGCAATAGGTACAGTAGGGTCTTGGCCTCCTGATCTGTGAATTGTTGTTGTTCTGTGCTGCCAAAACCATGTTTTCAACAGCAAGAACCTTGCTTTGTTGTGTGCCAACCAGCTTCCTTTCATGCTGGAGCATCCTCTTGAAGACTCTATCGATTGGTGGTAACTCATCACCAAACAGAACTTGAGATCTCACACTTGAAAAATTCTCATTAAGACCTCTTAGAAACTGGATAACATAGTTGGTTTCCTTGTAAGCAAACACAACCCTCATGGCCACACATGTTTCTCTGCTGTTGGGTGTGCAGGTACAATGTTGTAGTGGCTGATAATTGTCTAACTCATCCCTAATAGCAATTAGGTTTCCATAATACTCTGTAACAGACTGACTACCTTGCTTCAAACTGCTTAAAGCTTCAGTGAGTTCAGCAATTCTTACCACATCTCCTTGACCATACCTAGATCTGAGGCTTCTCCAGGCTTCAAGGGAGGTTTTGCAAGACATGATGGTCTTCCTGATGATGGGATCGACTGCTTGCTGGATCCATGACAGCACCATGACATTGTTTCTGTTCCAAGCCCAGGCATTCTGATGTGCTTCTCCTGGGTGGGGAATGGTGCCATTGATGAATCCAAGCTTGTTCTTGGCTCCCAATGCGTTCAACATGGCCTGGCTCCAGTCGTTGTAGTTGGCAGTGGTAAGTTTCTCTCCCACCAACAGCAACCCTGGTTGCTCAGATCCATGTAGGTAGTAGGGATCTGACATAGGATCAACATTGGCTTGAACATTCTCGGCTTCTGCTTGAACGTTGTCTGCCATGTTTTGAGGCGGCTAGGGTTCTCTAGGAACCAGGCTCTGATACCATAACAACGTTATGGATCAAGCAAACCCTAAAGCCCTGCCTTTCTCATTCCATTACACAGCTTATATAGCTGGAGAGTCAGTACAGAAACCTTACAAAACAAGGTAAGAAGACAAGGCTTGGAAGAAAAGCAAGTACAGCCGAAAAAGGAAATGAGTAGTTTTAACAAGTTTGAGGACTAAGTGGCATTTTGCCAGAAACGACGTCACTCCACGTGCGTTGTGCCTTCACTTGAGTTGGCATTGGAACGGCGTCGCATTGCTTCTGTTTTCCGGATGATGATGAAGTGGTGTCGCTTTGATTCCTGGCTTCAGCTGATGGTGAAACGATGTCGGGTGAACTCTCCTTCTTCTTCCCTGTGAGAACAACGTCTCTGTTCAGAGCCGTTGGAGGTTTGAAAGGGGCAGAGCGCGAAATTCCTTCGCATTCCCCTGATATGTAAGGAAACCATATATATGACATCAGATATACAAATAACATTCACAAGGGAGTGATTATTTGCGGTGAAGAATCTATGTAGTGATGGCTATGGACGGGACGGGGCGGGGCCTCAAAACCCATTCACCATCCCATGCTACTGCGTCTCGGAGCGTGTAAAACCTGCGTGAGTATGGGACGAGGTGGATCGACCCAATCTTCCATGTTATTTGAAAAAAGTATACGTAAATTTTACTTTTTATGATAAAATGAAGAGGAAAACACTTTATGAATGAAAAATAGTGATAATAGAATGAGTAATTGAGTCTAACAAGTTGAAAGATTGATTCTAACTAGTTGAAGAATAGTCAAAATAGGATAAATATGTATAGACCGTTAGAAATTGAGATAAAATGGACCAAGAACGGGGCGGGGTGGGACCAGGCGGGTCGGAAGTTGATACCCATACTCCGCCCCATGCTAATGTTGGTTTGATAATACTCGCCCAATTGCGGGTCAGGTAATACCCGCGGGGCGGGCTCATATTGCTATCACTAAATCTACCTAAGGGGCCGAAACAATGAAGTTTAAAGAGATCAGAATTGTGGTAGCAAGACTCACTGTTTAAAAACAAAATGGCACAACTCAATTTATTAATTGAATTAATTTTTTAACACTATCAATATTATATTGGTAAATAAGTCTGGTGGTTGAATTTTTTTATGACTTTCTATATTTTTTCGATAAATTCGACCACATTCAACATTAATAATCAACAACCAATATATATATGCTATGAGTGACACCGAAACATAACCATTGAATTCATCCACAAGGTACTAGACACATATAGCTCAACTTGAAAATTGGTGGGAAATAGGTTGGAAAGGAAAACCCACATTCAGAGTCAGGAGCTTTATATCATACAATTTTGCTCACGGTCTAACTTCTGTCTCAAATTTTATGGGCCTCAATGGTTCTTTTGAGACATAATTGCAGCAACTAATAGCAAGCACATGCATGTACAATTTTTAGGGAAAAAAAATTTGATAAAAGGAAGAGTACTTAAAGGAATCCAAAGGCCCAAGGAGAGGATTTCAATGATGTGGTCTTTTGCTTTCTGTTTTCTTCCACATACCCTAATGATAGATGCTTGCTAACTCTAGAATCAAATCATGGGTTGATGTGTGTTATTGGGTAGCTAAGGTATAAAGGATAATATAATAGAGTCAAAATTTTAATCTTAAGATCTCCTAGCCACCATTTGCTTCCTTAAAAGCTCCCTAATCATTTCACCCCTGCTGTTGTTTGTTGTTGCAGCATGTTATTTGGGTGGAGGCCAGGCATGTGAAACCCTGTGTCTAAATCACCTAACACTTCCATTATGCTCCTTGGTTACTGCCAAATCTTTGGGATTTACCATTAACCACTAGTTTCATTACCCAAATCAGATTTTGTGGTCTTTACCTTTCATACTCATTCAATGATTGAATCAAGAGCTTAATTGAGTACTAAATTTGGTAGCACATATAAGGTATCATGAGCAACAGTTTAGACATATTTTAAATATAAAGATTTGTATATAACTATATATGACCAAGATTTGAAAATTAAAACCCGCAATTGAAAGAATAATGAAATCAACTTGAGTGTAAATAATCTTTCATTTGCTAATTAAAATACACTCTAATTGGTTAAGACTCTTAGATAAAGAAAGATTTTACATTTGATTCTTTACATGACATTTCAATCCAATCTGTTTTTGTTTTATACATGCATGGATGAATTTGAATGAAAATCAAGCTACATC